AGAGAGAGACTTTTTATAGATGATAGATAGATAGATAGATAGATAGACAGACAGACAGACAGACAGACAGACAGACAGACAGACAGACAGACTGACTGACTGACTGACTGACTGACTGACTGACTGACTACTATTTTAAGAACTTAAATGCAAAAACACTTATATTAATGGGCACATAGAAAAATGTGATATTGGGCAGAAGTGCTACTTCCTGGGAATTATTTTAAGAGCATTTTCAAAATAGGTTGAGAATGACTATGTTTCTTAAACTGACAATTGAAAGGTATATGCTCCCTAATTAATTTAACTCTGCTATTGGTGAGAACAGAGCAGATATTTTCTTCTCTTTTCTGAGGGGTGTTTAAAATATCTTTATCTTACCTTACAATTACATGGTTGGGGTTACTTGCATTGATTTGTAATTGCCATTTTTTTGTCCCATCTTTCCACCAAGGAATGACCTAAAATCAGATCATCAGTTTAAAAATTACATTGAAACCACAATAGAAAACCATGGCCTATACGTGGGGAAGACACAATCCACAAAATGAAAATCTTTTACTCTATAGTACATGTACACAAAAAAACCTTTGTTTTTTTTTTTTAAATTGCCACATTTATTGCTTCTAGTTCCATCATCCAAATTTGGGTTCAGCAAAGTTGAAGTTTGATTTGCTTCCTCTGCCTCTTTTTCATGCACTGTCCTTTTTTCCAGGGCAAGGAACTACCAACTCTGAAAGACATTGATTTCCTAAACATGAACCAGAAAGTGTACATCAGTGAAGAGGCCAAAAAAGACTTCATGGAAAAGCTGAAGCGAGATGTAGAGGTATTGTAGCTTTCTCAGCCTAATATAGTATAACAAGAGGGGTGGTTCTGGGTCAGTAATCTAACCGGGCAAGCTGTGGATGCTAAAGAGAGATTTTTAAAGGTTAAAATAGGCAAATTTTCATGGTTCAGTTGAGTCTGAGAAGGTGTTACTAATGGCAACCCAGCCTACTGTTCTGATTCCCATCTTAATACTTTTTAAGATAAAAAGTTACCACTTTCTCTTTAGTATCTGCCAGCAAGTCAACTTCTTCCACCTTACTCCCTATATCTAAATAATATCTAATGTTGTGCTAGTGGTATGGGAGCATCTGCAGCATTCAGGACCAGAAGCACCAGGGTTTCTTCCCTGGCCTGCGTCCCTCCTCTGAATTTCAGACTGAAAAAGCCATAGTGCTGGCATGCCATCTGTAGGGCACGAGGAATGATGCCACAATGGTTCCTACATCACAGACTGAATATGACCTTTGCTGTTGACCCCATTCTACCCTATATTTCTGATTACTGCTTCCTTCCCTGTTTCCCACGCTTGAGCCACTGACATTGCCGTCTTACTACTGCAAGTGTCCTTGGAGGGATTTGACTGAATTTTTTTGTACAGTTCCTCATAACTGATAATTGGTTCTTTAAACTAACAGGCCGCCCAGCAATATAAACAGGAAATATCCTTAAAAGGGGAAAATATTCTCAGTACAATTATTTGTAAGCAGATCCTTTTCTGACAAGTCATCGTTTTAGGCTTGGGAAAATTACAAGGGTGGTAAGGTCATGCTCAATCTGAGGATGTCATGAAAAATTGTATAGTTTGAGAGTAATCAGCTCTTGCTTCTGAAGAACCAAAAACTGTTCCCAAGCAGGCTTGATTATCCCTAAACTTCAATCATTTGAACAGCTTTGTGTCCTAAGGTTCCAGGTTGGCTTTAGAAGGCAATGGGGTAGGACTTTTTGACACAAAGAGCGAAGGGCTTTCAGTAACTATATTCAGTTTGCTCCAGGCAACCCTGAAAGTCACTGATAAAGTATATATCCGTGATGGCGAACCTATGGCCCGCGTGCCAGTGGTGGCACGCAGAGCCCTCTCTGCTGCCATGCTCGCCATTGACCCAAGTCAGATTTCCATGGCGTTTCTTTCATGAGCTTCTGTTTCCCTTCAAATGACAAAATAGAAACTCACAAAAGAAAAAGATCTTGCCACGCTGTCAGTGTTGAGATCTCCCGCCAGCCAGCTGGTCTTTGGGTCTCTGCTGCACATGCGTGCATGTCTGCGCATGCACATACATGTCTGTGCATGCGCATGTTCTTTTTGGGCATGCGCACCCACACAGTTTGGGCACCCAGCATCTAAAAGGTTTGCCTTGACTAGTATATATGACAGATCTTTCTTCCTCTGGGTATTTTCCCCTATATTATTTGCATATGGCAAAAGGCCTTGGTTCCCAGGGTATTTCTAGAGTTGTACAGCGTTCTTATCTCAGGAAGATTACATAGCAGCAAATCGCTTTCCCTCCATTTTTTCATAAGCTAATTGGGGAATTTTTGAAGCTGCCTCCTAGCTTCTGAATTTCCTAGTCATCTAAGGTCGGATGGAGATTACATCAGCCCTGTCAAAGACGACATGTTAGAGAAGGGTGCTTGATTTGTTGATTTGAATGATGGGATATAATCGTATTGAGAATCAGGGAAGTCAGTGTGCATAATGTTTATTGGCTGGCATTTGTGTCATCATAAAGGCACACTCTTTTCACTGAAAACATTTTTCAACTTACGTGAACTTGTAATGTCAGAAATGTATAGAAAGCACTTTAAACAAAATGTAATACCGAAACGGAGAAAGGCAGTTCCAAGCATTTAACTGACCCTAGATTAATGGCAGGAAGGGTTGTTTCCATGGTAGAAGGAAAAGAAATCCTTCTGCCATGAAAAAAGAAAGTTTCCCATGAGAATTAAAGTTCATAGCATCTGTTATGTACTGAGGTATTTAGTCATTGTTTTCTTATTTCTAATTCCTTGTTTTGCTTTTTATTCTTTTTGGGCTTCTGTTATGGCAATTGCAAATATTTTACTGTATTTATAACTTTGAGGGACAAATTCTGTTTTGAAAGAATTGTGGTTCAGCTCTCTGGTGGAGGTCTCAGACCTTGATTTTCTGAATTGCTGGTCAACATTTGCACCCCATTTGCCATAATGAGGTGAGAATTGAGGTTAACTTCCAGCTCTGGAAAAATTTGCTCACAGCTAGCATTTCATCAGCTATTATATTTCCTTAGGGATTGAATCTGCAGAATTTAAACTACTTCTGCAGTGTGAGATTTTCCCTATTGGCCTTAATGACTGTTAATAGCATGTGATGGGTGGGGGGGAAGGGGCTGCAGATGCTCAGTGTCTAACGATTAACCTCATATACCACGCAGCCTTTCTCCTGCATCAGCTCCGTTTCTCTCAAATGTTCCAATTCTTCTTGCTCCAAGTTCAGTTTTACTGCTGACCCAAATCAGGGGACTGGTAGGCAATGGGCTTCTTGGAGTTTTAAAAAACCTGATGCTTGGGATATGACAATGGAGATCACTTGGTGTCAGCCCCTAGGAACAAGCAGGCTGAAATCTTCTGCTGATCTTCTAAATGAAAGTCTCAGACTCATGAACAATACTTCGCATGTTTCCAGTGGAGTTGTAGGAGATGACCAGGCTGGAGCTGGAGGGAAGGTTCAAACGCATCATCATTCCTAGCTTTCACCATTAGTAAGTCAGATTCTTGCACAGAGCTTTAGCATACAATGTTTCGGAATGGAGTAAAATCTCTGTTCTGTTCATTAATTAGGTTGCCTAATGTTTTTATCCTGCAGGAGGAAAAGGCTACAACGTATGCTTACAGTTCTATGAGATAGTTAGACTGAGATGTGAGGGTGATTGATCTAAATGTTTAATGACCTACAGGAGGGAGGGAATTTAAGTCCCATGAAGATAGATTGAAAGAATTGAGGGGGAGATATGACAGTAATCTTCAAATACCTGAATGGATGCCACACAGGAGGAGGCCAAGATTGATCTCCATTGTTCAAGAGTGCAGGACACAAAGTGATGGATTTCACTGGCAAATAACAATAAAGCTTAAGATACAGTTCCATAGTAGATGAGAATTACCCAAGGAGCGGTTTAGCCCCCATTTTAATGGACTTGGTCAAATAGAGACAAGACAGCATTTGTCTGTCACTCAATCTAGTCTATCCATCCATCTCCCACCTTTATTATTTTTTAAAATAACTCAAGGCAGCCAACATGTCCAATACACCTTCCTTCTCCTGTTTTTCCCACGACAAAAACCATGTAAGGTGAGTTGGGCTGAGAGAGAGAGCGAGAGTAACTGGCCCAAGGTCTCCCAAGCTGGCTTTTATGGCTAAGGCAGGACTTGAGCTCACGATCTCTTGCTTTCTAGCCTGCAACCTTGACCACTAGACCATACTGGCTCTCATTTGTTGGGGTTGCTTTAATT